CGCTGTGCGATTTTGTGACCCTGCTCTTGGCTTCGCGCTTGGTTGGACGTACGAACCTCCCTTTACCCTCGCTTTAGCCTATTCCCTCTCTAGTTTCAGCGCTGACTCAGGCTTCTTGCACAGCTACTGGTTCAAATACATCATTGTCACACCCAACCAACTCACTGCCGGCGCCCTCGTGATATCCTACTGGATAGACACAAGCCGAGTCAACGCAGGTGTTTGGATAACCATATTCCTTGTTCTGATTGTCACCATAAACTACTTCGGGGTCCGGTTTTTCGGCGAGTTCGAGTTCTGGCTCTCCTCGTTCAAGGTCATCGTCATCCTGGGCATCATCCTCCTCTCTTTCATCCTCATGCTCGGTGGTGGACCCGATCATGACCGCAAAGGGTTCCGCTACTGGAAGGATCCCGGTGCCTTCAACACCTACATCGACGATGGCCCAGCCGGCCGCTTCTACGCTTTCTGGGCCACCATGGTCTCCGCCACCTTTGCCTACCTCGGCACCGAGCTCGTGGGTGTGACCGTGGGCGAAGCTGAAAATCCCCGCAAGAGCATCCCCAAGGCCATCAAACTCACCTTCTTCCGCATCGTTGTATTCTACATCGTTTCCGTACTACTCGTTGGCACCCTGGTTCCCTACAACTCCAAGGAACTCATCTTCGCCACGAACCAATCCAGCTCCGCCGCGGCCTCCCCCTTCGTCGTGGCCATCCAGCTAGCAGGAATCCCCGTCCTCCCTCACATTCTCAACGCCTGTATCCTCCTCTTCGTCTTCTCCGCCGCCAACTCAGACCTCTACATTGCAACCCGAACCATCTACGGCCTCGCTAAAGAAGGCAAAGCTCCCAAATTCCTCTCCAAAACCGACCGTCGCGGCGTCCCCGTCTACGCCCTCATCCTCTGCGCCTGCATCGCATGTATCGCCTACATGAATGTCTCCAGTGACTCTAAAACCGTCTTCCGCTACTTCGTCGACCTGGTCACCATCTTCGGCCTCCTCACTTGGATCTCCCTCCTCGTAACACACATCTACTTTGTGCGCGCGCGCAAGGCCCAAAACATCCCGGAATCGGACCTGGCGTACCGCGCTCCCCTTGGCACCGCGGGGTCCTACGTCGCCCTGGTCTTCTGTATCATCATCTGTCTCACCAAGAGCTACGACTGTTTCACTCACAACAAGAAATGGGGTAACTTTGATTACAAGACCTTTATTACGGCATATTTGGGAATCCCCTTGTACTTGATTCTCATCTTCGGGTATAAGCTCGTCACGAGATGTAAAGGAGTTAGCCCGTACGAGGCAGATTTGTTCACGGGCAAGGATGTCGTGGATCGCATGGAAGAGGAGTATTATCGCCGGGAGGCTATTAAGGAGGAGACGGAGGGCAAGGCTGGGTGGTTTTATCGGAAGTTTGTGGCGTGGTTGTTCTAGTTATATTTTCTCATGCATTTCTTTTATTTTCCCTTTTTCTTTCTTCTACTCTTCCCTTGTTTCTGCTACTGGGCGTCAGGGATGCGAAAGGTTCATCATTCTTACTAGATGAGGGATGCTGTTCGTGTGCTTGGCTAGTTTATCTAGAAAATTGCCGGGCGGGGGTTTATTTACATGCATCGGAAAGATACCTAACGAATGAATGTATGACGATGATCATGATACATGGCACCTCGGTAAATGATTAGATACAGTACAGAGGACATGAAACGCCGATTAGTCACTCGGGTTGATTGCTTGGTAGGACGATTTATTGTATTATTCTGTATTTAATTATGTAGAGAATACACCTAAGCGCCATAGGTTATAGGCACGTGAGAGAAAACTATCTAAGATGTAAGGGAGAATTGATAAACAGAACATGATAAACACGTCAATCAGTCCCGCAAAGCCGTCATCAGTCGTTATTGATCGTCATCAAAAGGAGAGTATATGGGTGAGGGGGTCATATAAATAGGTTTAATTAGTTTGTTCATCGTCAGCGTCGTCGCCGGAATTCGAATGTGTGTTCCGTGGCCCAATATGCATCTTCCTTCTCTTCTTCGTCATCATCATCGTCTTCGAAATCCTCTTCCTCCACCATTACCCATTCCTCGTCTTCGTCCGCGTCTTCGTCCTCGCCGGTGTGAGGTACTGGATCGTTGGCGTTGTGTAGATATGCCGGGGAGCGGTCATTAGAGTTTGGATAGCGGGTGTCCAGATCCGACTCCTCCTTTGACAGATCGAAGAGTTCTGATTCCCAATCGACGTCGAATGAGTCGCCCCCGATGAGGAAGGATCCTAGCCTCAGAACGACATTGTAGATCTCCTTGCCGGTGGGAATGATGTGTTCGGAAGGGAGGAGGAACCCGTAGCTCCCGCGATCGCGAAGCTTGATCTGGTACGAAAAGGTCGCGTGCACTTGGTGGTAGAACCAGTCTAAGGCACTGCCACCAGAGTTGCCGCCAATGGGGAAGAATCGCCCGGGGTTGCTATCTGCCGCACTGGCAGTGACGATGCCTTCGCAGGCGGATGTGACATCGTAGACTTCGTGAGTCGCGTAACGAATAGCCTTGGCTAGGCCTAGGCCTAGTTCTTCCAGGGTCTCAAGCGTTGGGGGTATCGACGAGCAGGAGTAGGAGAAGGGATAGAGAATTGTTTGAGAGTAAGAGTGAAGGTCAAGGAAGCTCACGATGTCAGCATTGTTGTTTTGCGTCTCATTGAGCGCCCACTGTGCCAATTGCTGTGCTTCCATGCCCTCAAAAGGCTCGTCTCCAGCATAATTTTCGGAACAAGGGTTCGCGCGGGTCCGACCGCCATCCCATTCGAAGCCCCAGGCGCGGTCAAGGTCGATCCCGGGACAGAAGCGTAGGCTGGTTCGCTGTCGATTCTTGCGCCATAGTCGGTCCGTCTCCCAGGTATAGACATAGCCGTCGGGATTGATCGTGGGGATCATGACCCAGTCAAAGTCCTGTAGAAGGCGGGTGACGGCTTTGGATTTTCCGTACTTCGTAATGAGAGTGTACATTACATGGTTTACGGTTGAGGTGCTGATCCATTCGCGAGCATGGCTACCACCTGTGACGATGATGGTTTTACGAGGGCCTGACGCCGCGGTGGAGCTGCCTGCGCTCAGTCGGAGAGCGGGAATTTCGCGACCCTCATAAGATACTCCAATGCTAATCATGCGCACATGGGATGGAAACATGGAAGCTAGCAGCCGCATCCAGGGAACAATGACGGACAGAGGCTGATACTCGTGGAAGAACAGGTCACCAAATTTCGGCGCAGGCCGGTTTGAGGGCGCAAATCCGGATTGTCCTTCAAGCCCTATCGGCCTTTTCGATGGATAGGTCGTATAGATTCTTTCTGCCAAATTTTCTATCAGGGGAGTATATGCAGTCTGGAGGGAATTTGGTAGTAAGCCCAATAACGAGGGAATCTATTGCGAGGGTCACAGCGAATCAGTCATCAGTCACCAGGCAGATGCGGACGGAAGGATGATCCACTTACGACTTCCTCGGCCAGCCGAATATCTACGAATGCTGGAGTAGACGCCCATACGTCCAGGAATAGAATGTCTGCGGCCTGGGCCAGTGCTTCGGCCTCATCGTGATCGCGCAGGCTGAAACGAAGTACGACGTCACTACCGTAGCGCGCCAGGATCCGGGAAGGAGGAGAGCGATTGCGCGGGGAATCGTTGAGTGGGAATCGACGAGAAGCGGGTTTTTCAATGCCCCATATGGACTCGATAACCCAGTCACGGAGGCGAATCCATGGCCTTCGGGGATCAGAAGGCTGGGAAGAGAGAAGGTGAACGGGCTCGACGGGTGGTTGTGGAGTGATAATGGAGCCGGCGGGGACGGCGGAGACCAGGGCGGCCGATGCGATCAGAAGCACGAGCAGTGATAAGAGGTGACGCATATTGGATGTTGAGTAGGCCAGGGTTAAAGAGTAGTTACCGAGTCATCTCCTTCAGAAAACCTAGAACGACAGACAGAAGTTTGACAGGGAACAGATGGAGAAGGATGGCATGAGAGGGGAGAGAAGTGGTGCACGAGAGCAGAAGTTAGAGAGGAGAGACCGAGAGACGGAAGGAATGGTTGGGTGTGACTTGGTAAGTAGGAGTGGAGACGAGGCTGTGATGTGTGCCTCAGGCATCAATAATGGCTGCACCTGGACTGTCTCCTCACAATACCAGGAATGCTACCAAGTATTCAGACTCTGCAATCAATAATCTGCTTAACTTGGCTTTGTTTCAACTTCAATCTCTATATCAGGAGTAGTAAACTTCGTACAACTGACTCTGTTACTGAGTCGGAGAGTTGAACCTTTATCTGAACAAGCTGAGACACAGCATAAAAGAAAGTGTGCCATAGTCAGCACAAGCTTGAACAGATGGTGATAGAAATGCCGAGGTATAATATCTGCAGCCACCACGAGCTGGACAAGAGCTAGTCTAGCACTTAAAAGGACCACGATCAAAGATTAGGCTAAGTCGGCGAGGGCGAATGCAGCCATAATCGAAGTTTGGAGAAGATTGAATGGATGCCCGCATTGGATGGCCCGGGAACTATTCCTGTTCCGACTAGCTTACAGCTGCGGACAGTCAGTGCTTCTAACCATTCTAGGACTAGTGATCATGTCACGCCCCGGTTGGCTCCGCTGACCCGCCATTCCGGATTAGGCAAGGATGTCTGCGCTTCTGCTCTGCCGAACACTGCTCTCAGTTGCAGTGTCCCAGAAGACATCAACCAAAAGGATTTTACGGGTATATTGGGGGAGAAAAAGGTTCCTTTGATACAAGGGCCGAGAGGATGTCTTGGCACTAGCAGTTCGCAAAGCCTTACCTGACTCGACAGGACCACTCATAGCATGCCTCTGATGAGCCATGAAGGTGCCATTGGAAAATGAAGGCTACGCTAGATACAGAGTGATTAACAGTCTAACTATCGTTCACTATAGCTATGAAAGCATCTTCTCGGACCCGCTATTTGGCTTTTCACGAGGGTTAACATGCCTCGCTAAAACCAGAAGTTTTCACGGGTTGGACTCATCTGGGACGTGGTGAGACACTCCTTGTAAGGCTCATTTGCTTACAATTCTCCAGACATCCTATGCTGATTGTGTGGTGAAGGAGGGACTTTACCTATAGAAGCTGGTACACCACAATCAGTGGATGAAAGTCGAGACCGTGACTGATCGCGATGGTCTAGACCGATCCCCACAGGAGTCCACCCAGCGTCGCATGTGTGGCCGTACAGCCATATCATCGTACGTGTCAGACCCATTCCCTCCCAGAAAGACGAAGCAAAGGGATCATACTCATACTTGGTCCCAAGAGCCAGAGTTGCAGCTTCCGAGCTTCTGTCTGGCCCTGCGAGCATGGCCTTATATGATAAAGCGGTAGCCCTACTACTCTCCAAGCATTGTTTACAAAGTTTGTCGATGTTGCCACATCAAATTGGCCAGCTGTGCTGAGCAATTATATGTCGTCATGATGAAATTGAAGCTCTCAATCTATCGACGAAGGAGGTATACTGCCTGGAGACGCATTGTGTATCAATATTAGTTTCGGTATCTTGATACCTCAAATATCAGCTTACATAAATCCCAGACTCCAGATATGAAACGAGCGGAACATGCAAAGTTCTATATGTCCCAGGCATCATCGAGCACGGATTGACTCCAATATGCACTACGTGGGATTTCATGGACAGCATTCGAGAAACATCTCAGTAATCAAAACACCACAGTGAGCTGAAGTCAGTAAGTTATGAACAAGATGCGGTTCCGTTCCTAATCCGAACCTTGGTTCGAAAGAGTCAGGACACCGATATCCAGACAAACTGCAGAAGTTCCTAACTGATCCAATTGAAAGGAACGCAGATGCCTAGAAGAACAAAGACTTGGCCTACCGGCATCCAGCGGCAGCCAAGATGATGCAAATCAAGTTTGACCGGACAGACGAAAAAGGGTGATGGGGGCGACAATTGGGCGGCGGATCTGGCGGGCGAAAAGGATAGCCAGAGATGACGCCAGCGGTGGTCATGGCCTTGGGGCCTGACGTGGCCAGACCCCGGTCACGTGGATGCATGGCTGGGGATGCGAGTGCAACTTGCAGCTCCATCGCCGCCGCCTTGCAGCTTTCTTCCTTATTTCCCGGTCTATAGTTTCATTCGTGGTTTCCACCCAACAACAGAGACTTACATACATACAAGGTCTGGCTGTCAGGGTTGTGTCAAGGGCGAGTCGAGGGTCCTGCGATCAGCATAAGGCGGGAGGGAACTGCGGAAGGGGAACCAGCCAGCTCTTTGCGGCCAGGAATTTAATTTCCCCCCCCATACTGCCACTTTGGCTACTAGTGAAGGAACTAGTCTGGCTACTCCGGATGAGGGTATCTAGGGGCTGTTTGGAAGTTAAAGATAGAAACAAGTCCACTGGGAAACCATCCGAGGTTCTGCAGACCAGACCCGATCGTAGACATATTTAGAGCAATGAAAGACATTGGGTGCTATTTACAATTGTACTTAAGAATAGTGTGTGTGTAGTGTGTTGATGAAGGTGGTACATGATTCATGTAAGGATAACCCCTGGTTGAAGAACACAAGCCAGATACGTACATAGATACATGGATGGCATGGAAAATGTAATGGAGCTTATAATTAATTTAATTGACATGCCAGTCAAAATCGCGACAAGAAAAATAAGAATAAAAATAAAAAAAGAACCATCACAGTAAAGGGAGGCTGACGGGCTGAAAAGGAAACACTAAAATACTAAAAGAACTAAAAAAAAAAAGGACATCCACAGTAAACAAGAGCGAGCGCACGTGTGGTTGGTCGAAAATGGAGAAGAGAAAGTCCAACAGAAACCAACTCCACTATTTCTGGAATCTCTCCGTCGTCAGCAGCAGTGGAAAGTGAACCCCAGCAGCATCATCGCTGTTCCGTCTTGTCTCGGCTGTCTCTCTCTCTCTTGCCTGGCCGTGATTCTTAGTTAGCCCTCCTGCCAACCACCATCCCCCAGGTTTCCCACTCATTCCATTCCTTCAGTCTTTCAACTTCTTCTTTTCCTAATTCTAAGCATTTATTTTTCTCTTCATTTATATCGCCCTATCATTACTACTACTACTACTACTACTTCTTTACTTCAAAACTTCTTTGCTCTGCCCCTCCTTGGCTTTCTTTGGGACTGCGTTCTAACAGTACTCAGTAGTACTGTTCACTGCTGCTAACTAACTACTAGTTAGTAGTTTGTGGTTGTGGTTTACTTGGTCCCCTCACCTGCCCTGCCCTGCCTTGAGTCTCTCCACGCCCGCCCGGAATTCTCAACGCGGCCTCCCTCTCTCCTCCATAACCCTTTCCATCGACCTCGCACCTGGCGATGTGACCGTCTTCAATTGGCGACCATTACGATATTTCCGGATCACTGCTTTTTCGCGTTGGTGATTGACGAACCTCCACCTCCTTTCCACCACCCCCCCCCTTTTTTAAACGACCTGCGCTCCTCCGCCCAGCGATCTTGCCCCCACCTCCTTGCGCTGCCAACTTTTCCCTGCCTCACTCTCCCCTTCCGCTGGTTCGCGATGCAAGTTGGTCTGCCCGACCGGTGACATATTCGCTCAAATCCCCCCAAGAGCTTGCCGTCGCCATAGCTCCGATCGCAAATCCGACTGAAGCCGTGTTATACCTACCGCTGTGGGACGATCGCCAAGTATCAATCGAGCAGTATCGGATGGGTCTCTCAAGCACGCTGCGCTGCAGGATTACATAAAACACTATTCCTGGAAATCGTCGTCACTATGCATTGGAAAGCACTGCGCCTCGGCTCCTCCGACAACGAAGCCAAACGACGGAGCTATCTGTACGATCCACCGCAATCCCGTCACAGCGAACAGCTGCCTCGTCCGACGCTCTCGACGACCGCCCTTGCCCCCAGACATTCCGAATCTGCTCCACGGTCACCATCGCTGGCTGGTCCAGATGACGCCGAGCACAACGACGACTATAGGGCTGATGGTCCTAGCCTCACACAAAGTCGCAGTCGCGCTGAAGAACCCACCGTGAAGCCCAGAAACACTGGGAACTCACTGTTGCCGGGCAGCGGCCCGAATTGGCGCATGAACCGTTTCAGTTTCATGAGGCTTCGTCATGCGTCGGACCCGCAATTGTCCAAGTCGTACGCTAAAGCAGAGCAGGAGATCCCTCCTGTGCCATCCTTGCCTCCGCGTAAGTCACCCATCATCTCAGAGTCTACGACTTTCGCACCTCTTGTTTCCCGCCCGACAATTTGGCTTTGTTGACTGACCTTCCAATGCCTCTGCGCTTTATAGCTACAATCATCACGACCGCGCCGACAAGCCATGAACTCGAGGAGCCGGTAAAGCGAAAGAACAAATTCAAACTGTTCCCCGATTCGAAAACCCCGACGGTGGAAGAAATCCCTCCACAACAGTCCACAATCAATGGGAAGTCCAGGCATACTGCCCAGGGCTCGACGGGGTCGCAGACGGTGAATCCAGGCCGACCAGAGTCTCGAGTTAGCGGCGAGGAACCGGGTCGTCTATCGACTACATCCATACGGAGCAGTGGTCGTGATCAACCTGGTGACTCTCATCGCTCTTCTGTGACAGATGCACGGTTTTCCGAGTCATCCCGTTCTGACCAAGATCGTGGGGATCATGGCTCTTCGGCCTCGCGTGGAATTCCAACGAGCGAGGGTTCAATTTCCAGCACAAAACGATTCCGTATGCCTCGCTTGAAGAGGAACAAGGGACCCCTCTTTCCCTTGCCCCCCAAGCCAACAGCTTCGCAGTCGCTCAATGGACGTGCGCCCAAGTCGATACCGGACTCTTCGATTCCCACGTCGGATGTTTCAGATGATCATGACCGGGATCACGTCTCTCCACTGCCGTCGCCGTCGCGCTCCTCAGCTGGTGTCTCCTCTCCTCGGCCCCCTCTGTTGAGAAAGGACTCGGCAAATTCCGCTCATTCGAGCCATTCAACGCCATCCATTCGAACACGTAAGCCGCCTACCACGCGGGCTCGCTCATCTACGTTGGATTCTTTGGCCAATATCCGGGACAATGAGCCGCAACAGTCGCCCCACCTCACTTCGTCTGGACGAACGTCTACTTCGACCAGTGGACGGAAAAGTTTTGGCGATATATTCAACATCCCACAGCGGCTGCGGCAGAACTCGGAGCCCCCGTTCCCCAGGAGTGGGTCTCCTGCGGCCAGGGGCGCGGAGACTCCGGTCACCAAGTCGCCTTCTTATCCAGAAAGACAGGAAAATGATACCCCGACTACGTATTTGGAGCGGCTTGAGGCAACCGTACCCAAGAGTGTAATTGCCAGTGTACTCTCTCAATCGAACGATGAGTTCTACAAGAACGCTCTGCGCAAGTACATGAGAGGATTCTCCTTCTTTGGTGATCCGATCGATATGGCCATTCGGAAGCTATTGATGGAAGTGGAACTACCAAAGGAGACCCAGCAAATCGACCGTTTCCTACAGAGCTTCGCTGACCGATACCATGAGTGTAATCCGGGTATCTTTGCGAGTACTGGTATGTCACCATAGCACCCACATTATGGAATACTCTAACTCCTGTCCTTTGCAGACCAGGCATATTTCATTGCGTTTTCGATCCTGATCTTACACACGGACGTCTTCAACAAGAATAATAAGCGGAAGATGCAGAAACCAGACTATGTCAAAAATACCCGTGGAGAAGGCATTTCAGAAGATATCTTGGAGTGCTTCTATGAGAACATCTCCTACACACCCTTCATTCGCATCGAGGACACGAATCCCAACGGCCGCCACCTTCCAAAGCCTCGCCGAACATTGTTCAAGACGGCCAGCTCCGACCACCTTGGTCGTTCTACCAGAGAGCCCGTTGATCCATACACCTTGATCATGGATGGAAAACTCGACTCTCTTCGACCAAGTCTCAAGGATGTGATGAACCTGGACGATCCGTATCGCTGTAATGGAACGGATGGACCGCCAGATATTGAGAATCTCCATCGTGCCTTTTCCAAAGCCGCTGTGCTGCAGATTGTCTCCCTGCGTTCACGGCCAGATGCATTTATGCCTTCGAGTATGGAAAACCCAATAGATTCTAACCCAGGCCTGGTGGATATCAAAGTAGCCAAGGTCGGATTGCTTTGGCGCAAAGATCCGAAGAAAAAGAAGGCTCGGTCCCCATGGCAAGAATGGGGTGCCCTTCTGACGTTCTCGAAGCTCTACTTTTTCAGGGACGTCAACTGGGTCAAGTCATTGATACACCAAGAGGAATCCCACTA